AGTCCTTTCTTCTACTACAACCAATCTAATATTAATTCATTAATACATTTTTCAATTCTATGATTTGCATTTGGTTCTCTTTTTATAGTTTCAACTCTTTTCTGCAACTCCCTGTGTCTTCATGCATTACACCAATATTTTCCTGTGGACTGTTTTTTTAAACTTTTTATTTTGAAATAATTATAGATTCATAGGAACTGCAAAGATAGCATAAGAAAATCCTATATATCCTTAACACAGTTTCTCCCATTTATTATATCTTACCTACTATTGTACAATATATGTATATGTATATGTATATAGTTCTATGTCCCTTTACTACATGTGTAGATTTATGTAACTACCATTGCAGTCAAGATACAGAACTATTCCATCATTGTTAATTTTTCTCTAGTGCTACCCCTTTATAATCAGTCACACCCATCCCCTCCTACTCATCATCCTCAACTCCTAGCAAGCACTAATCTCTTCTCCATCTTTGTAATTTTGTTATTTCAACAATGTTATAGAAATTGCGTAATACAGTATATAACCTTTTAAGACTGGCTTTTTTCACTCAGCATATTGCCCTTGAGATTCATCCAAGTTGTTGCATGAATTAATAGTTTATTCCATGGTATGAATGTACACAGTTTTTTTAACCATTCAGTGATTGTTTGATATCTTCATTGTTTCCATTTTGGCTATTTCATATGGAAATTTAAATATATTAATTATTTTACTATTTTATTTTTATAGCAGAGTTATTTTACACTCAGTTAACATCTGAGTCTTTTGCAGGTCAGTTCCATTAAGTCATTTTTTTTTTCTTCTTGACTATAGGTCATGCTTTCCTATTTCTTTTCATGTCTATTAATTTTTCATTATACACTAGATCTTTTGGATGATGGATTGTAGATTTTATATCTGCAGATGAACTCTAGATTCCGTTATGTTCTTTTGAAGAATGTTGGCTTTTGTTTTAGTAGGCAGTTAAATTACTGACAGATCACCTAGAATGTGTGGAGGTTTGATTTTATGGGTTTTAAGGGAGGTTGATTTTAGTTTTCCCCTTAACCAAAAGGAAACCCCTTATTCTTGTAGCTTAGTCTTTATTCCTAAGGTGTGGTCTTTTCGGGGTTTTAATGGAAAGCCTACTGTGTCTTGGAAGTCAACAACTCTGTTTTGGAAGAAATATGGCCAGAATGCTCCTTAGAAGCAAGGAGGGTGAGACTTCATCTCATGTACTTTGGACATGTTATCAGGAGGGACCAGTCCCTGGAGAGGGACATCATGCTTGGTAAAGTAGAGGGTCAGTGTAAGAAGAAGACCTTCAAAGAAGATGGATTGACACAGTGGTTGCAACAATGGGCTCAAACATAACAACGACTGTGAAGATGGCACAGGACTGGGCAGTGTTTTCTTCTGTTGTACATAAGGTCACTATGAGTCATAACCAACCTGACAGCACCTAACAACAACACCACCGTGCTTACTACACCCCTCTAAATTGGCAGTCCTCAAACTTTAAATTGTCTCCCATATGGTGGACAATAGCTGAAATCTCTGTTCATTCTTTTTTCTTCCCCCAGCCTTTCAGCTGTTTTTCCCTCTCTAGTTCTTGGCATTTCACTTGTGCATGTGTACAAGTTCAGGGATCAACCAATGATTCAAGGGACATTTATTCAGATTTTGGGTCCTGCCTTATGGTTCCTTTCTTTCTGAAATTTTGTCCATCAATTTCCAGGTACTCTGGAAGTATCAAACTCCATGTTCTGAATCCTCAGGCCAATAACATTGCTGTTTCTGCTGAAGTTCTATTGCCCCACATGTCCCAGACTTGGAGGTGACCTCAAGGCAAACACTGTATAAATATGGATTTCACACAGTGTGGTTCTTGTTTTGAGGGCTGATTCTCTTCTAGTTTTTGCCTGTTTTCTGATACTCTTCAGTGCCTTCAAAGATTTAAAAAGGTTTTTTTTTTTTTTTTTTTTTGCTCAGGGTTTATAATTGCTGTCTATAAGAGGGTTAGTTGGATACACGGTACTCTGCCATGACTTAACATAATCTGTTTTTAATTTTAGCATAATTTGGCCTATTTATGCTTTCTGTGAAAGGCATTTGTGGAGTTCCTTGTCTAGCTCTTCATGGCTAAAAATACTATTTTTTTTTTTTTTTACAGTGGCAAGTGCTAAAAATACTTCTTTATCTTCTTTAAATATTTAGTTTCCTGATAATTGAGGAATTTTCTATTCTTTTTCCTTGAAATCAAATTAAAAAAAAAAGTTCATCTGGAATAAAAAGTTTCTTGATTTGAGATCTCATTAAATGTTACCACATTTAAGCCCAGGACACTCAAACAGCCTGTTTATAAGTGAAGGTCAGTTAAATAATGGTTAAATGGAAACATTTTGCTATTTAGTAGCCAGTCACTAAGTCCTCTTCAGAGCAATATACATTATGCATATGAGGCTTTCCTCTTGCCTTTATTATCTCTTAGCACTCACCTGATCATCTGCTTAGAAAAGTTCTCTGATGTTCTGGTATGGAATCAAGGCAAAGGCCCAAGGAATTTGGTTGAAATTTGTTTTAAAATCTTTTCATTATATCTGAATAATCTGATTCCAGTTTGCTTTACCTTTCCATTTAATTACTCTCCCTAGAGAACACGGCCTTTCTAGCCTTTCTAGTAGGTGGAAAAGCCTTGCTTTCCCTTTTTTACCTTCCCAAATTCTACCTGTCTTTGAGTGTCCATTCAGTTTATGCCTTCTGATTTTTCCTACCAATCAACCTACACCACTGTCTTTCTGCAAGGCTTTTCCTCCATGATTTATCAATTCACACAAGCTGTACAGCTATTAGGTTTAGAAGGCAGCTGAGATGGGGATGGAAATAGAAAAGGGGTGGGTTTAGAACCACTGCTAAAATAATTTTAAAACTGGTATGGTTTCACTCAGACAGTGGAAAGCTTCCTTTCTAGTATGCCCCTCATGCTATATATTCTGCCTTATTTTATAATTCAATCGCCTTATATGAGTATAATTTCCTTTTCCAATAAGATCAGAAGATTCTCAAGTGAAGATATCATGCCTACTCCTTCTCCCATATCATCAAGCATAGTGTTTCACGTAAGGATAAACAATCATTTAAATGCTTTGGTTTGAACCTTGCCAATTTGGCTAAATATCTATGTTTTCTTTGCTTATAACTTTCTAATTACTTGAAGTGTTTGTCCAGATTTGGTATCTTACTAAACAACATGAGGATTCACCTTGAAGATTCATAATTCAGCTTGTCCCTAGTTCTCCAACCCTATCTCATGCTACTCTACTACTTTCTCCCTCACTATGGTCTTGCTATGCTGCTCTTCTTTCAGTACTTTCACTCATCAAGCAATTCCTGCCTTAGGATCCGTCTACTTGCTATTTCCTTAGCCTGGTATGGACATGACATGGTTAGCTGCTTCTCATCATTTAAGTCTCAGATCAAATCTTAATTCCTCAGAGAGATCTTCCTGATCACCTGATCATCCTGTTCCCTTAAATCTACCCCAAGTCATTCTTTTGCCCATTATCTCATTTTACTTTCTTCATAGCACTTACCAGAACCTGAAATTATCCTCTTAATATTTGTCTGTGTGTTTATTGATTATCTCCTCATGTTAGAATATAAACTCCATGAGGGTAAGGAACTTGTCTGTTTCATTCACAGCAGTATCCTCAATGCCCAGAACACTGCCTAAATGAATGAATATTTGAGTTGTCACCCTGTGTGCCATCTTGAAATCAAGTGCGTTGGATAAGGTATTTCAATGCACATAATTTTAAGTCAATTTCAGAAAAAATGGCACAGAGGTAGAGGCTACAGAGATTTTAAAAAAAAAAAAAAAAACAAGAAACAAAACAAAAAGAGAACACCAAAACCAAACCTGTTGCCGTTGAGTCAATTCTGACTCACAGTGACCCTACAGGACAGAGTAGAACTGCTCCACAGGGTTTCCAAGGAGCACCTGGCAGATTTGAACTGGCCACCTTTTGGTTAGCACCTAAGCTCTTAGCCACTGCTCCACCAGGGCTCCTTTAAAGAATCAGCAGGCCTTTAATTTTAATTTTGCCAAGTGAGACCACAGGTCATAGGATCCACCAGTGAAAAACAAAAGAAATAGTAACTATGCCTTATATATAATGATGATAACTAACAATTAATGAGTACTTACTATTCGTGCAGTGGTTAAGCATTTGGCTGCTAACCAAAAGATCGGCAGTTCAAATCTGCCAGCTGCCCCTTGGAAACACTATTGGGCAGTTCTGTTCTGTCCTATAGGGTGGCTATGAGTCAGAATCGACTTGATGGCAATGGGTTACTATGTTCCAGGTACTGTTCCAAGTACTAGACATTTTTACTCATTTAGTCCTCACAACAACTCTGTGAAATAGGTATAATATAATAATCTCCATTTTTAGTGGTAAGGACCCTGAGAGCAGAGGTTAGCTAAGGAGTTACATAGGTTGATTTGCCTGGAGTTGTAAAGTTAATAAAGTCCAGAGCTAGGATCAAACCCAGGCAGTTTGATTCTAGTCTGTGGTCTTAACCATTGTGCTATTATATTGCCTCATCTCCATTTAGGAAACTCAGATTGTATTCACTTTTATTCTCTCATTTATTTACCAAGTAGATCTGGCATTATTCTTTTGCGTATAGTGTTATAAATAGTTTAGAATAAAGAATAATGGACTTGGGGTTATCATTAATCTACATAACCTCCAAACTAACTTCTTCAATCTGTAGTTCTGAAACTGTAAAAAGAAGGGTTGGACTATAGTTTATCAGCAGCATGATGTCCCGTGTTCTCAGAGCAGAATAGTTAGTTTATCGTTAATAAAATTCATGGTTGGATGAAGAGCTTTGGAAGCTCAAACATTAAAAAAATTTAAAAAAATAATAAAGGATCTTAGAACTTGCCCTAGGAGATTCTAAGATAAATTTAGGAAGAATATTGTTAGGAATATTTAATACATTACCTGGACTTTATTCATCTCCAATTTGTTCTTCTCATTGGCGCTCTGGTCTTGTTTGCTAGCTCCCTTTTTCTGAGGGCCTTTCCCGAAGAAGATGTAATTTACAAAGGCATATTCCAGAAGAGCCAGGAACACAAACACGAAGCAACCCATTAGATAAATATCAATTGCTTTAACATAAGGGATCTTTGGCAAGGTCTCCCTGAGGTGAGTGCTGATGGTTGTCATTGTCAGCACTGTGGTGATTCCTGTGAAAGAGAAAGACAAGGCTTACCTGAAGGAGCCCCTTTTTAACTGCAAAAGGACAGATACCATTCTCTCACTGGGGCCTCGGATGATGGCAGTAACATGATAAACCATTGGCAAAGTAGGGCAGACATTCTGAATGACAAAACTTCAGACTACCTATATAGCCCATTAATTAATGTAAAATGGAATGTGCAGTTAGTGGATGGTTGAAAACCATTTTTTGTAACGCGCACACACACACACACACACACACACACACACAAAGCAGAGGCAAAAGCAGACGAAAATCCCATTGGAGGATTACTGTCAAATGTCCCTCATTCTGTTATATGCCACATCTTTCTTCTTCCTTTTCTCAGCATCCCACTTATCTCCCTCCTAAATCTTCCCTTCTGATACTAATCCCTGTAGCAGCCACTACTAAACTGAAAGCTGGTTACCAGTTTGAGGATATGTACTTCATTCCCATGCACCTATGAGTACACCCCAGGTCACAAAGTCAATATTACATTTTAAAGTAATAATGCTTCATTCACAGTAAGAAAACACCAAAAGGATAAAACATAAGAAAGCTCATGATTTGCATCAAGTAATTGATTTATATGCTTTTTAGATATAACATAATCTTGTTACTTTGGTTTTTGAAATATCACCTCTAGCTCCTTGATATCAGAGCGTAGAATGAGTTAGATCTCTGACTTTCTAAAAAAAACCTCAACTTGGATTTGTTAAAGAAGTTGAACACTTTAAGCTCTTAAGAGGTAGATTCTGTTTTGTTTTGTTCTTCTGGAAGTCTATGGTATATTCAATATTCGTCACCAACACCACAGTTCAAATGTGTATTATTTGAATATGAATATGTGTATACGCTATGATTTAGGAAAACACACAGGATGATGCCCACAGTATAATGTTTGTGTGATTGCATACGAAATGTTTTGTGTTGATGATGGTAATAGAATGATAATTGGGAAAAGCAAGAAGTGAAAAAGAAGTTGGAATCTCGTGTAGATAGCTTGTGCTATAATACTAATATTACATGTTTGTACAGTATTTTACAGTTTTAACATTTTATAAATTATCTTATATGACTGTTATAACTGAGTAAGATGGGGTAGGTATATTATTCTCATTTTATAACTGGGTAAATGAAAACTCTGAAATTAGTTATTTTGCTTTAGCTCCTCCAGCTGGAGACAAAAAGCAGGAGGGTATTAAACAAAGGCATTTAAAATAAAAGCAAAGAGATGAAAAGGTAAAACCTGAAACTTGATGCAGGTACTTAAAAATCAAGGCAGGAAATATGAAACTGATCATAAAGACAAAGGAAACTGGTAAGGTGGATGGAAGGTAGTTATATGAAAGAAGAGGACAAATAGTTTAACACTCATTTATTTGCCAATCAGATGATCCTAGATGTACAGACCTCTTGATTTGCTACTCCGGTTTTAGAAGAAGAGATAAACAAGAAGTCAGGACTACCATACACAAAGTTAAAATGATTCAGATGAGTGATACATTTGAATGTGCTGGACTGATATGAAATGCTAGCCAGAGTGGTCTTACTTAGTTCTTTGAACAGAATTTTAAGTTTTACTTCTGCTTAACAGACATGAATAATTTATTTACAAATTCACCAATTGCATTTCTGCTTCTACTCTTGGTTTTAAATTTTTGTTTAACAAGAAGGGTTAGTAAATGGAAGTCTTTTTTTGACTTACATAAGCTTTTAAATAGCTCAGGTTTTACATTTGAAGGAACAGGTCAGTAATTTTACATGCTGGCATCTCTAATTAAAAAGTCATAGCTTTGAGGATAGAAGTATAAAGAGAATCAAGAGAACAACAATTCATGAACTTACTACTTGTTATTTCCTGCTTTTTTTCCCCTAAATCATAACATATACGTATATTCAGATTCACAGTTAAATACTATGCATTTGAACTATGGTGCTGGTGAAGAATATTGACTATACTATGGGCTTCCAAAAGAATGAACAAATCAGTCTTAGATGAAATAGAAACAGACTGCTCCTTAGAAGTGAGGATGGCAAGATTTCAGCTCCTTTACTTTGGGCATATCATTGGGAAAGACCAATAGCTAGAAAAGGACACCATATTTGGAAAGTAGAGGGTCAGCAAAAATAAGGGAAACCCTCAATGAAATGGATTGACACAATAGCCAAATCAATGAACTCAAACACACCGAAGATCATGAAGATGGCACACGAGCAGGCAACCTTTCTTCTGTTATACGTAGGGTCGCTATGAGTCAGAGTAGACTCTATGGCAACCACCAACAACATATGTATGTATGATATGATAAGCTATTTGGTTACTTTCTATAGTCCTGAAATGTTCAAAGATTGATAATGGACTGCCAGCACTTAACTTTGTGGGCTGTAAGGTATTGTAGAGGTGAATATAACCTAGATGTGAAAGATTACGCTGATCTTCTAATCCAGTTTGACAGTTTCAGAAAAGATGTTATATGTTAGTTTAGCCAGAAATGGTGCTCTATTGTGTGTGTGTTTGCATGTGAATAAGCTTAAGAGAGTGAAAACTGAAGTGGCTCTAGGATCAAATAATGAGGCAGATGCACACATGCCCAAGATAAGACAGACTCATCAAACAGACTCTGCATCTTCTAACTTTCCAAAGTACACTTTAGAGTCTCAAATATAGCCTTTCAGCTTGCAGCAATTACTTAACCGTGGCAAGATTAATTCTGAATTTTGTTCCCCCAGGAAGGAAACCATTTTTTATTCTGTCCTGATGATACATCATTAATATAGCTGATGAATTGTCTATGTCTTAATTCAGATACAATGAGCTCCATTTAAAGGAGACTCAGATATAATTTAGCTTTAGTTAATATTCAGTAGACAGTATTTCCCAACAATTGACATAGTTTGTTAATGATCAGGAGGCTTAGCTTTCTCCAAATCCATCTGAGAATAATGCAGTGTAAATGTTCTCCACTACACAAATCAGCAAGGAATCCTGGTGGTGCAGTGGTTAAGGGCTCTTCTGCTAACAGAAAGGTTGATGATTTGAACTCACGAGCTGCTTCATGGGAGAAAGATGTAGCACTCTACTTCCATAAAGATTACAACCTTGGGAACTCAAGGGGGCAGTTCTTCTACTCTGTCCTACAGGATCGCTCTGAGTCAGAATAGACTCGATTGCAATGGGTATAAAGATAAGCAACCAAAGAGGTAGTCTTCATAAACTCGGTAAAAATTGGTATAATTAGAATTTAAAAATATACTCCAAGAAGCATTTATATAGTGCTAAATGTACTCCCGGATAATCTTTTTGGTAGAATGCTAAAAAGATATAATGTAAAACATTCACTTTGTACAGTGTTTACACTTAATGTTTTATAACCAAGCACTCTTACAGTAATCTAACTTTTTGGCTTGCTATAACAGAAACCCTTATTTATAATTTCTAACATTGGTTGTTTGTTCAAAGGCAAATCAACCAGCTCTCTGCAATGCTGGGAATGTATTACCTAGTGCGACTCTGGCCGCAGATGCATCGTAGTTGATCCAAAAAGACACCCAGGACAGAATTGTAATCAGTGTGGAAGGCATGTAGGTTTGCAAAATGAAGTAACCAATGTTCCTCTTGAGACGAAAACTTAGTGACAGTCGTGGATATGCCCCTGAGTTGAAAAAAGAAAAAGATTCATATCATCATTTAGTTGGAAAGATCTTCTTCCTTTAACAGCACTCCTAGTTGATTTTGTGGGAAAACATCCTTACCTGTTGTGAACTCCACCTTCTTGGACACCATCTTGTAGTCGACAATTGAAAACTGGGGAAGCTCAATTTTATTAACTCCTGTTACTGCTCCCTCTCCTCCATTCCAGTAAAACTCAATGTCATCAGTGGTATAGCCATCTGAAACCAAGAAACACAGCATAGTTAAGTCAGTTCAGTTGGTTTAGATATTCATTTGAAGACAGTCTGGAAGCTGGAAGGAAAATTCCCATCAAGTGACAGCAAGGTGACTGTTCTGGATTGAATTGTTTCTCCCCAGAAATGTGTTGGAATCCTAACCCCTATACCTATAGAGGGTCACTGTGAGTCAGAATTGACGCAAAGGCACACAACAACTTCATACTGTGGATGTATTTGCATTTGGGAATAAAGTTTTCTTTGTTATGTTAATGAGACCATATAAGTGTAGAGTGTGTCCTAAACCTAATCACTCCTGAGTTATAAAAAGAGCAGATGAGACAGAGAAGTAAGCACAAATGAAGGGCGACAGATTCCACGTGAAGATGCCAAGGAACCCTTGAATGCCGGGGCTGCAGAAGCTGAGGCAAGGATCTGTCCCCCAGAGCTAACAGAGAGAGAGCCTTTCCCTATAACTGATGCCCTGAATTTGGACTTCTAGACTCATAAATTGTGAGAAAATTAATTTGTGTTCTATAGAGCCACCCACTTATGGTATTTCTGTTATAGCAGCACTAGGTAACTAAGACAGTGTCATTGCTTTAAATCAGGATGGCAGATAGCTTCATGTTGAGTGCTGTCTCTGATAGGTTTGTAGTGGCTGCATTGAACACTTGGTTGAGAAGTTAGATACAATTGGCTTTAGTAGATATAAACTCTGAGATATCACTGCTACATATTTATTAATCCATTCTCATTGTGCTTACCAATAGATAACTTTTTGGCTAGATTGATCGATGGCTGGATTCCAGGTGCCTGGGCATAGATTTTGGCTCTGCATTATTTAACAACAATAACAGCAACAAGCAATAATAATTGAATACGTATTTGTTAGAAGGGGAACAGAAGGGGCAAAAGAATGGAGTACCAAAAAAAAGAAGGAATTATCAAATTTGTACCCACCCATTAAACGATCAAGACACTTTAAAAGAAATACACATTTATAAAATTGGTCTAATTTCTTTTCATATATGTTGATTTTCGCTTAATATATGGGTGAATATTTTAGAAATTATATTAATTCTTGATGATACTTTCATATCTCAGTCCTTTTGAGGGTGAGCTTTCATTACTTTAATTAAGGAGACTGTGTAGGGGACTGTAGATTGCCATAGAAGGACCCACCCTGAGGTCTTCAGCATGGCAGGCCCCATGTTGAAAGCCCATTCTCTTCCTCCTTTCACTTCTGCTTTCTACTTGCCAGTGGTCTAGCTGAGTTATAAGCATATATAAAAGTACCTTGCATAGAAAAAATGTGTAGATATAAAAAATATCTATCTATTTGGGACCTGTGAAATAAAGGGTGCTACCACCTGTGTGGAAACCCTGGTGGTGTAGTGGTTAAGAGCTACAGCTGCTAACCAAAAGGTTGGTGGTTCGAATCCACCAGGCACTCCTTGGAAACCCTATGGGGCGGTTCTACTCTGTTCAATAGGGTTGCTATGAGTCGGAATCAACTCAGTGGCAATGGGTTTTTTCTTTTTTTTAATCACCTATGTGACAGTTTAGGAAACACTGCTATCTCTATGTCCCTTAAGGAGCCCTGGTGGCACAGTGGTTAAGAGCTTGGTGCTAACCAAAAGGTGGGCAGTTCGAATCTTTCAGCCGCTCCTTGGAAAGCCTTTGGGGCAGTTCTGCTCTGTCCTGTAGGGTTACTATGAGTCAGAATCGACTTGACTGCAACAGGTTTTTTACTTTTTTTTAGGAGCCCTGGTGGCATAGTGGTTAAGAGCTTGGCTGCTAACCGAAAGGTTGGCAGTTCAAATCCACCAGACGTTCATTGGAAACTCTATGGGGCAGCTCTACTCGGAACCGACTCAATGGCACCTAACAACAGCAAGGAGCTGTGTGAAACGCTCTAATGGTGAGACAAGAAGAGTGGTAGCCTTTGCAGTTGGGGAGACCTAGCATGCCACACTTTCCACCTAGAGCAATATTGCCACTTCCGGTGCCCCTGCATCAGGACCCAAACCGCAAGGGGAATGCAAAAGAAAAACAAAACAAAACAAAACATGACTGCAAAAAAAGGGACCCAGAAGCTGCAGAGAAGAAAAACAAGGAGAACATCCATAATAGGTGGCTTTTTATGAAAAGAATTGGAGGAGGAAGCAGACTAAAGTTTGAACCTTTTGTTCCTCGCCCTCCTTAAGAATATAAGAACACTTGAGGATATTTGATAAGAGCACAGAAAACTTTCCTGTACTAAAACCCAAATGTTATTTATTAAAAATATTTGGTAGATGAATTGAGGAGAAGATGACCACTGCTAAGGTCATAATTAGTGGCTTGGAAGACCAACTGAGAGACTTACCTTAAAAGAGAACAAAATTATAGAAATTTGGAAATCATAAAGAAAATGTAAGTGTTTTTAGGTCTTATATATTAGATAGCTAATATATGAAAAATGAGAGTTCCTGAAGGAAGAGGAGGGACATATAGAGAAGGAATCATAACAAACAAAAAGAAAATACAAACTTCCCTGAGCTTAATAAATAAATTATTTTGGAAACTGAAGGGTTCATTGCATCAGGTAGTCTTGATATAATATCTGAACTCCAAGGGTAAAAGAACAATCTTACAATCTTCCAGACAGAAAGTGCAAGGTATTTTCAAAAAGGAAAAAGATTCACACTGGTATTGGATTTCTTATGAAAACTCTGGAAAAGAAAAAATAATATGGAATAACATCTACAGAACACTAAAATATAGACAGAAAAGGACTGCAACAATGTGACCCAAGAATCACATTCCCTGACAAAATGCCACTTGTTTACAAGAAAGATATATAAATATTCAGAGAATATATCACCCAAGTACTTTTTTGAGGAAACTATTGGCTCTAATCATTGACACTAAACTATTAACTCTAATCAAACAAATCAATCAGGACGGATAAGTAAGACATGATAAAGGGAAACCACCTTAGAAACAGCAGAATTTAAAAGAAGCCAGGGACTACTTTAAGGTGCTCTTGTGGCACAATGGTTAAGTGCTTGACTGCTAACCAAAAAGTTGGTGGTCTAAACCCACCCGCTCCACAGGGAAAAAATACATGGTGATCTGTTCCCGTAAAGATTATAGCCTAGGAAACTCTATGGGACAGTTCTACTCAGTTATATAAGGTTGTTTGTTATGAGTCAGAATTGACTCGATGGCACACAACAACAAGAAGACTACTTTGCTCAAATGTATGCAATTTATTTGAAAATTAAGATGAATAATTTTTTAGCAAAAAAAGCATTTACTAAGCCCAAATCAGGTGAGATAGAAGATCAAAACAGCTCAGTTTTACCCCAACACAAACAAACAAAAACAAACAATTGCAGTCCCCAAAATTTAAAAACAGATAATTCCATTGCTATTCAAACAGTTCCAAAGTATAAGCTATAAAGGAAAATTGCCAAGTTGTTGTTTTAATAAAGTAAACTGAATCTATTAGCAAACAAAATCCAGCAGCACATTAAAAAATAATAAACCATAACTAGTGAGGTTTATTCTAAGAGTGCAAGCAGTTCAATATTAAAAAATCTAGTAATATACTTCATTATATTAATAATCTGAGGAGGATCTAAGCATATGATTATTTACACAGATACTAAAATGGCGTTTGACAAAATTCGACCTCCATTCTGATGTTTAAAAAAGCAAGAAATATGAATAGATGGTGTCATAGATTGAATTGTGTCCCCCCAAAATATGTGTCAACTTGGCTAGCGTATGATTCCCAGTATTTTATGGTTGCCTCCATTTTTATGATCTGATTATCCTCCATTTTGTTACGTGTTGTAAATCCTGGTCTCTATGCCTGTGGTTATGGTCCCATTTGGGAGTGAACTGTCTTTTATGTTAATGAGGCAAGATTAGGTCATGTTAATGAGAATTAGGTTATGTTTGTTATATTAATGAGGTAGGATTCGGGTGGGATGCATCTTGAGTCACTGCCTTTCACCACCCTACAAGAGATAAAAGCAGAGAGAAGTGAGCAGAGAGAGAGGGACCTCCCACTACCAAGAAAGAAGAGCCAGGAGTAGAGTGCATCTTTGGACCAGGGTCTCTGCAATGAGAAACTCCTAAACCCAGGGGAAGATTGATGACGAGGACCTTCCCCCAAAGCTAACAGAGAGAGAAAGTCTTCCCTTGGAGCTGGCGTCCTGAATTCGGACTTCTAGCCTCCTAAACTGTGAGAGAATAAGTTTCTGTTTGTTAAAGCCATCCACTGGTGTCATTTTTGTTATAGCAGCACTAGATAACTAAGACAGATGGATACTTCTTTAACATTGTAAGATATATCTACCTTAGTAGCAACATCACACTTATTGTGGGAACAGTACAACATTCCTACAAAAGTCAGGAACAAGATAAGAATGCCCACTACCACTCCTGTTATTTAAGATTGTTCTGAAAATACTAACCAATGCATTATACAAGAGAAAGAAAATAGAGGTATAAAATTGGAAAACTGCTGGTTAAACTATCCGGGTTTGCAACTTACACAATTGCATACTTGGTAAACCCCCCAAAAATAACTGAGTAACTATTATAAACAATAAGAATTCAGCAGGATAAAAGAGTGTAAAGTTAATATATAGAAACCAGTAGCCTTCGTGTGTGTGTATATATATATATATGTATATTATATATATATATGTATATTATATGTTTATATAATTATAACATATAATGGAAAAAAAGACCCCTTTTTAAACAGACAAAAAAGGTAAAATAGTAATAAATTTAAGTATATGCAAGACATGCGTGAAGTAATGTTTAAAACACTTTTGAAAGGCACACACACACAAAAATCACTGAACAAATAAAAAGGCATGCCATATTTCTCAATAGGAAGACTCAACATCATAACATACTTTTCAATTTAATGCAGTTGCTTAATAATACCATTAGGCTCTTTGTTTTTGGAAGCAGACAAAGTAATTCGGAAGTTC